AAAGTCTTATCTTTTCCCTACAGAGCACCTGGTAGGTTAGAACTGCTGATCTTCGGGTTAGCAGTGAAATGTGTAGTCTATTAACCCCCACCCCCCAGGATTCCTTAGACTGATATTACTACAATTAAAATTTCTCATCATGCTATTCTGATCCATTACCCACCAAGTCAATTTAAAATTCCTGTATGTGAAATTGACTTGCATTCTACAGCTTAACTTATTTTCTAAACCTATTTACTCTGGTTCATGGAATATGAAAGGTTTAATAAAGAGTTTTTAGTTCTTTGGTTTTATTTAACTTGTTAAGTGGTTTCTCTAAGAAATTTTGAGATATATAGACTTTTCTTTCTTAGCCTAAACTTTAACATATATCTGAAATACAGAAGTAATAAAGCCATGGAACTTAAAAAGTAAGTGCAACAAAAGAAATAGTGAGGTAAGGAACAACAAAAGCAACATGTTGGCAGCACCTGTTTGTCTTCTACATTCCCTCCTTCAGTGCTGCCTACCATAGGGATAGAAGAAGCACCAGCCAGGTTCCTTCTCTTTATTGGACTAATAAGTTACAAGAGACCCTTCCTGGCCTTAGTCAAAACTAGGGTAAAATGTAAATATGAAATTGACTTTTGCCTGCTAGTTTTAGGCACTACCATTGTCTATAGTAGTTAGAGTTGCAAAACACTCCAATTGCTGATTGCTGAAGGAAGCCATGTACTAATATAATAGTTGACCTCTTATTAGTGAGCACCATCCAGAACACTTTGGACCAGATAGTATATTCACCTTCTATTGTAATAATTTCCTTGAAAGGAGTTGTAGGAAGTACCCTCTCTCAAGAAGCATCTTGTTCCACTGTTGTTTGTCTTTTGCTGAGAAAATTATTTATATAAAGTCCAAAATACCTCTGGGACATTCTTCTCTCAGTGGTATTTAATAATTAATTGAATTATTTTTTGCATCCTCTTATCGAGGTTACTTGAGGGGGAAAAAATGTCAAATCAACCTGATTCCTTGAGGAATCTACTGCTTTTACTTTTCACTTAACAATATGCTTAGATTCGAAAGACCAGGTCATTACAAGAAAAATTGATATTATGTGGAAATAGATGAAGACAACATCAGATCAAAAAATGGAGGATAATTATGCAGTTACATCACCACCAAAGTACTTCATTGCATAGCTGCCAAATTATATTATAATGTAACTACCAAACCAATCATGGTCTAGTCAAGTTGATATATAGCCAAATCATCACAGCCAGCATTGCTCCCACCTCACATCTAAGCATTGGTTACAACCAGACATATCTTGCTAATGCATGAAATAGTTGGATAGTAGATTTTCTGCTATTGTCATAAGTGATTGTAAGTTCCAAATAATTCCCCTATTCTACTTGAGCAATTAAAAAAAATGATATGAATGTATTGGAATATCTATCTAGAAAGGCACCCTGCACTGCAGAAGTTTTCTCCTACTATTCAAGAGGAATCTTTCTACAACAGAGCACCTGATGTGTTTACATTGACATTGTGGTTAGCAACCCAGAACTGCATTCCCAGGACACCTTCAAAAGGAATATTTCTTACTTTTTTAAAAATTATGAATGTATAAATATGGCTCAAATTTTGTTTTATTATTTTCACAGACTGTACTGTTTTAAAAGTCGTTAAAAATATTTGTCTTGTTTTCAGTAAGCCACATTATACCCTGATTTAAAATTTTGCTAATCTTTTCTACTCATGGAAAGTTTTGGACTTTGGTTTCTGGTTTTTCTTAATCACAGTGGTATCAGGAACAGCATTTCAATGCTGCTGCATTGTTTTTACACTTTAAACATAAGAGAAACCTTCTAGTCTTCCTGACTTCTAGTTTCTCCTTTGGCAGAGGAAGAAACACAGGCCTAGAGCTTCCCACATCTCTTTGATTACAATTTCCATTGTATTTCATAGCATCGTCTGAAAACAAATTTCAACCTTGAAATCATTTCCAGACACTAACTGACCTGTACTCTGAAAATGCGTAGGGTCAAAAATTGGCAAGTCTCAGCAAGAGTTAAACACAGAATTGAAAATACAGCAAATAGTCTTTCACAATTTGCTTAAGCATCCTATTTTCTACTTAACTGCTCTGCAGACTTTAGAATGGAACTTTGTCTAAGTGAAATTGTTTTTTTTCTCATACTACTTTAGGTAAATAAACTTAAAGATCCACTTGGCAGCTTTTCTACTTGGTTTAAATTCAGGAATAATCAATTCAGAGTAAATAAGCTAACAAGTAAAAGCTCAAACACACGTTAAAATTTATTCAGTGTCACTTGTTCGTTGATGAAATTAATGAGATAATTATTTTAGAAAGAAGCATAAATATTATCCTCATTAAAGATCTTACTGTTACTTTTCCTTTTAACAAATCTGCCCTTCATCAGGTTTTTGATCTA